AATGGAAGCCCTTTTCACTGTTATGCAGGAAATCAGATAAGAGATAGACACAAAACAGAAAAATTTGTGTGAATTTTGAATATCTATAGTCAAAAATTCGTGTTCAAAAAAGAAACAAAGACCACCACTCTCCTGTTGTCCAGATTCCTAATCCTAACGCACATAAGACTTAGCAGGCATTGCACTGACTTCTTCCTGCATGTTATCAAAATTGTTCTGGATTAAGAATCCAAAATTTAAGTGCAATTGTGCCTTAGAATCCCTGAAGTTCTTAATCCATTGAGCATGCTCAGATGATGGCTAATTTTCATTTGAAACAATTTCTTTTTTGAATACAGCAAGGGCATTATATGAAAAAGATTATGAGTCACACGGCTACAGTTTTAAAAGGGAGCATAATGATTTTGCCTAGAATTAAAGCGTTTGAGTTTTTTCCACCTTTTCCTATCCCTCTCTTTTTTATCTTTTCTCCAATCCACTACTCAAAACAGCTTTACTGAGAATGAGCAGGGAAGCAGGATCAGTAACACACTACCGTTAACTGCTGGCAGCAGGTGATTAGGCAGACAGATGATTTGGGGGAGACTTGGGCTCTCATCTTGGGTTCTGGGATTATCTTTGGTTTTCTCTAATTTGGTTTTTAATGTAACATATATTAACAAGCTTAGGTTCAGTAATCAGAACCTGGTAATCCTGGATCAGACATAAGTGTTCATAATGACTAGACTAAATTGTTGGGGTTTTTTTGTTTCACTCTCTTTCTAGGAGTAGTATTTTTCCAGGATCGTTTTATTATTTTTTTTTGCATAATAGAACAGCTTCCATATGAAGCCAAGCTTGTAATGAGAGACACCTTCTGAGAAAGGAAAGGCAGGGGTGTGAATCCTCCAAGCAAAAAAGGACACTGTATATAAATTCTCCCACTTCACAAGAAAAAGCTCTGATCACTTCAACCTTGTAAAGCAACCATCCTTCTAAAAACAACAAAAAAGAAAAAAAGAAAAAGCTTTACTTGGTTTTCTAAAAGAAAATATGTGTGTGTGTCCACTTTAATGAAAAGGTCTTTTGGGGTTTTGATCCCAGGAGGACTGAGATCACTTCTATGTTTAGGCTATGGGATTTTGGGTTTTCTCACCTAAGGCCCCCACTCTTTTTGTGTGCTGTCTTAGACATTTAAATTACATTCATGAAATTCTTGAGATCAGACACCCAAAACACCAATCTTACAATCTTGTCCAATTCTTTTATTAGCTATAGCCCTAGCTGACTTACAGAGGCCACCGCTGGGCATCAAAATCTATGATCTGTTAGAGTCCAAAAGAATGAATCCAGGGCATGTTAGATTCAGCCTTATGCTATAATATCAAAACCTCACTAGGGCTGGAGATTACATAATGCATTAAAATAATAACTGGGGAAAGTAGCAGAAAAACTGCATTAATTCAACAAATATATTCATATTTTTGTCATTGGAAGAATAATTAGCTGATTTAGCACAAAGAATAAATGATGTCTCTGTTACATTTATTTATCTTTTTTCTCAAAATCACATTAAATCAATAGATTGAAAGTCTTATTGCAGTATACCTTGCTTTGATTGCTATGGATTAACATCTGCATAATATATTTTACATGAATCCATTTAAAAATTCTGAGATTAAAGTGGGTGGTGCTTCTTCTCATTCACCTCTCTCTCTCTCTTTTTTCTCTCTTCTCCAAGGCGTAATCAAGACTGCTTTACCAGACATGAGCAGAGAAAACAGGGAACAGTATCAAGTAGTCATCCAGGCCAAAGACATGGGAGGCCAGATGGGAGGACTATCAGGGACCACCACCGTGAACATCACACTGACTGATGTCAATGACAATCCACCTCGCTTCCCCCAGAGTATGGAGCATCTAATAGTTCTGTTGTTTTCCAAAGAACCTTTCTAAAATCAGTTGTTTCACTGCTGCCGTCTGGGATCTTTTTTTCTCCTCCTCTTTTATTAATATAAATACTGGCCCACTGCTATGTCTGTTTATGCTGCAGCATTACTAAGGCAAATGGGAATCTCTGCCTATATTTTTTTAACTGCAAAATATTTCTTGGAGTGATAAACTTACTTCCCACTCTTACTCTGCTTACAGGAACATGAGCTGTAAAGATAACCTAGGCTAACTGAAAAGACTTGAAAGCCTTTAGAGGAATTTAATTACAAAATATAGGGTTCAGTTTTTGGAAACACTTTTATTTCCACATGTTTAGGTAAGCAAATAGGTCAACAAGTTTTCTAATGTACCACCTTACAGAGCCAGAGTTGGTCAGGTGGTGTGCTCTGCTGGAAGTCTAAGAATTTTTTTAGATACTTGTAACCGGTGTTCAGCTCTTGATGTTGAATGATTTTGATAATCTAGATCAGTTTGACACAATTAAATTTTTAAAAAATATTTCTGTAGAATAAAAAATGGCAAACAACAGAAAGCTGCAAGATATAGAAAGCTTCAAAGTAGCGTACAACAGATACTTTCATCCTTGGCCACTGGTTTAAATCCAACCCCAAATTGTTATAATCAATGTCTGAAAACTGTTTGATAGGCTGCAAATAGAAAAAAATGTACAGCCTCAATTCACTGCGTGCTGGAAAAAAGTCCACATTATAAAATTTGAATTGCTTCTTGGCAATGATTAGGGACCTGACTGTCTCTCTTTACAGATTCACCAAGGACTGAACAAACAAAGCTGATTTAGAAAACACTCTCCTGGACTTGAAAAAACTTGAAAAGTACTTCAGTATCACAGCTATAAGTACACTCAGAATAGTATAAACAGGTCAACCTAGAACCTAGTTTTTTAAAAATATTAGAAAACTCTGACAATGTGGGAGAAAGGATTCTTAAAATTACCTGTAACACTTTTTTTAATCTCTATTCATGATTACAGATTGCTTTTTAAAAATAGAGGGAAGGGAAAGTACTGCAGTCCTCATAAAGAAAACATAATTTGAATTTGCACTCAGAGCTTACTTGCTGAGAATCACCTTCACATGGCAAACTCAAACAGTAATTTTTAACCAGCCTTGCTCTTTGACTTCAGGAAGGGATACTGCTTAAACATGTATAGAATGATATAGCCCATAATATTTTGGCAAATAGGAATTCTTTAAGCCAAATTAAAATGCAGATTGCATTGCAAGCTTTGTTGCTGAATTAAATTATACTTAGAAAATAGAGAATGAATAATGCATAGAACTGCAAAATAACTTGGGTTTTCAGTCTCCTTAGCCTTTGTTACTTATGATGCTCTTCTTTCAAGATTAGCTGAAGCTTGAAGCCTGTGGAAGTTCTGATTATTTCAATAAGCTGTGGGTTTGGTACTTAATTATAGAGAAATTTACACAATTTGATGCCTCATGCAATATTCTCTGTAGCTTTCTACTTTGAACATCACCGAAACACATTGGATGTGCTATAGAAGACCTGCTGTGGGATCTATTCAATGGTACAATTTTAATTCTGCTGATGACCCTTCCCTCTCATTTTCTTTTTCCTTAGCAGGGTAGTTTTCAACACTTGCTAGGAAATCAGAGAGGAACATCTGGAGGTTTTTATTTCTTCTTAGATAGTTATGAAGAGGGACATACCTTCAAAGAACTATCTATTTCTGGAAGTCTGCTCCTTCCAAAACCAATTATCTTCCATTTTCCCTTATGTGAGGCAACAATAAGTGCAAATGTGACCCGAAGTAAAGGCTGAATTGCAAATGCAAGCAACAGAAGTCAATGCCAATGTATTGAAAAACTAAATATTGATTTCTTAGAGGGACAGAAGAAAGGAAAACGGCAGAGTGCACTGTGAAGTACTGGTTGTTCAGACTGAATTAAGAAGGAACAGATTTGCTGTTTTGTTTTGTTTCCTGAAATGAATCCTGGATAGTTAAAAGACATAGGCCTAAACTGCATTTAAATACCACCATAATGAAAACATTACACATTTTGAATTCAATTGTACTCTAAACCAAACTAACCATCTTGCATGCTGAAAATGTGTAGCACTCACACAGCACCACAAAAATAAGGAATGCTTTCCAATGTAAAAGCACTCAAGGGAGTTACTTATTCTGGTAGAAGCCATAAGCAGCATGATTAAATCTGTTCTTCTAGTATTTCTGTCAAACCCTTGAATTTGAGCAAGCCTTCAAACTTATGGTTTAGCTGCCAGGAATCCTAAGTTACATCCCATTTTCAACCTGGTTTAAAGGAATAATAATCATGTTGGTCTGTGTGGATTGCAGCCAAATAGTCTACTGCTGTGTCTTCAGTTACAACCTTGAATTTGTAACAGAAAATACGACTTAGCATCAAGCATCAGCTTCCATTTTGTTACATATCTATATAAATACAGTGTATTTGCAGTGACACTCTTTTGTACAATTGTGGATGGAAACTTATTCAGCACTCTGATGTTTGGTATATTCCTTGTACTTAAAAGGAACCTTCAGGACCCTTTAAGTGTCTTCAGAAAAAGCCAAGGACATGTAAATATAAGAAACAAGCTAGTTGCAAGAAAGATACTTGACTGTATTTCACTACAGGTCAACAATTTATACAGGTTCTTATTGGACCCTTCAAATAAAGTTTGTGCATTTTATCAGGTGTTAATTTTGTCAGAATCTTAAGGTATTTTTCCATTGCTACTTCACTCAATTTCATATTAATTTACATGAGAAAACAGATAAAAAGAAGTATCACATTCTGGAATGTGATGTAAAGTGCTGAATATATCAGATTTTTTTTTTTTTTTTGCATTTTCTTTTTAGCAAAGAACTGAAAATGCTGATCTAGAAACATTTGTGTCTTGCTAGGGGTGAAAGGTCTTCATTGTTTAGTTCTGACTGGTCAAGAAAACCATCTGATTAATACTTTTTCTGTAACAGTGTGTTCTCATAATTCAAATTTTATTGCAAATGTCAGAAAATACATATAAATTCACTTTTCATACACACAGGCAAGATTAAAATGTCTGTGTAATCAGAATTCTTTCTAGCAAACCCTGATTATAAAAACATTAAATGAAATCAACCATTGAAAGAGCACAAAAAGTATATGCAGAGTAAATTGAAGAAAATCTGAATGTATCTGCATTTCAATTAACTACAGCAATTAACATGAACATATATCGAAATGCTCTTTACCATGACTCTTTGATATGTATTACCAATAATGGATGAATGAATTACTTTCACAGAGAACACCTACAAATCTTGAATATATTTTTCAAAAGAATAATTAAAAATGCCTATCCTATCTTAGTCTCTGTCTAAAACCCACACTGGTTTCTACAAATCTTTTGCCTTGAGAAAACAAAACAAAATCCCCTACTACTTCTAAATATATCTAGGAACAGTTCTAGAAAACTGAGAGAAAAAAAAACATATATATTGTTAAACAATCAAGGTTAGAACTTGGTTTTGGGCTTCTCTGCTCCTTATAGAACAAAAAACCAACACAAAACATTAAAAGCACAGTACTAAATGGCTTTGAAGAATCACTTGAAATTTTTATGATGCTTTGTCAATCAACTTCAAACCCTGTTTCAAGTTTAGTATGATGACCAACAGCGTTTTTCTTAAAGTGTTTCAAACTTCAAGTTACTTAAAAAGTGCAGGTGAAGTTGAAGATGTTTATTATGCAGAACAAACTTCTCAAAACAATAAATGCTTGATTTTACTTTTCCAGGCACCTACCAGTTCAGCTCTCCTGAGTCTGCACGACCTGGGACTCCTCTTGGCAGAATTAAAGCCAATGACCCTGATGTGGGTGAAAACGCAGAGATTGAGTATAGCATCTCCAATGGGGATGGATCAGACATGTTTGATATCACCACTGACAAGGACACACAGGAAGGGATTATAACTGTCAAAAAGGTTTATTTTTTTTCTCTCTCTCTTTTATATGTACTTAGCTCTTCAGGTGTTACGGTTATTTTTCTTTTTCCAGGGGAAGGGAGGGTAGATCTCACAAGGGGTCAGGCTGCAAAGGAGTTGTTGTATTAGTTTTGTTCTTCTCTTTCTTCAGCAGATATCTGTTATTTTCAAGTCTCGAGGGAAATTTACTGGTGTGTCACTTCACATAAAGCAATATTTCAGTAGCTGCTGTCTGTTTTATACATATACTCTCACACACAGTGCTTTCAAATTAGGGCTGTGAAAACCTGGAGGGGTTCAGTTCACAGCGGGCTTTGTCAGCTGAATGCTGCAGTAAGGCTCACAAGGGTTGGAGGCTCACCTGAAGTTTGATGAACTTACATCTCCAAGGCTAAACTGGCCCTCTCTAATCTGTCCAACAGTCAGGTATCTCCAGTACCTAAAATCTGTCTAGGTTTAAGTCCAACCTTGAGGAAATTTAAGTTGTTATATATGTCTGTGGTAATCCAAAAAGCAAAGACATGGGCAGAAATTTAATTCAAAACACCATCTCCAACAGATTTATTGGCTGCTTTTTAGTGTTCAGACTGTTAAACTCTGAACACTATTTTCAGTTGTATTCTACACTGCACATATCAGTAATAAATAATTGATATCTACAAATACATAACATAATTCTATACACATGTATGTAGAAACACGTGTATATGTATGTGCATGCATGCATATATGTGTGCATACGAATGTATATATACATATGAATATATGGATATGCATAATACAAATGTCACATAGATTGGAAATCAGACTTTATAGTTTTTCTTTTCACTCTGGAATGTGGAGGCCAGGGACAGGTCTGAGCTGCTCCTGATGCAAAACAGGCAAGGGTAAATGGTAATGAAGGATGAGTAAGGAAAAAGGAAACAAGACAGAGAGTATTTAAGAACCGGGATAATTGTTCTTATTCCTATCTATAAAATGAGACAAATAAGACCTTTAGCAACTCCTGCTTGTGGGTTGAGTCTAACTTCCCCATTTTTTTCTGTATTTTCTACAGATTGACCCCTCCTGGTTTTGCAGGAATCTGAAAAAGTACTAGGCAAAGCGATCATAATTGCCTTGCTGCCCTATAATACTCCTTAATTTTCTTATGCCTAGAAGAAGCACTAATATACTCCATCTTCTCCAAGATGCATCAAATTTTAGAGCTTTTGCTCCTAAAAACGCCTACATTTCTAATTTAGCATTACAAAACTGATTAATATTCTTCTGACACAATTTTCTTTATTATTATTATTTGATCCTCAGCATCTGGATTTTGAAAACAAGATGTTATACACCTTAAGAGTGGAAGCAACAAACACTCATCCTGATCCTCGTTTTCTTCATCTGGGGCCATTTAAAGACACAGCTTTTGTCAAAATTTCTGTGGAAGACATAGACGAACCTCCAGTGTTCAGCAGACCCTGGTATTTAATAGAGGTAGATGAAGATGTCAAGGAAGGAAGCATGATCGGGCAAGTTGTAGCCCAAGATCCAGATATAACAAAGAATGCAATAAAGTAAGCCATTACGCAATACAAAATGCTTTAAGTGTGGGTCAATTCTCATACACAAGGAGTGATGAGAACACAACTTAACAGGGGGCCGCTTGAGTAATTAAGCACATAGGGGCTACTGAAAAGTGTCAAGCAGAAAAATATCAGTTAATAGTGCAGGGTATGCTTCTAAAGGACAGCCTAGAGGCACCAGATGAAAAGAAAAGAGAGGTCAGCATCTAACTGGTACCATGTTCTAGTACTTTCCTCAAACTGCTCATAAGATTATACTTTTATATTACGTTTCCAGCAGCAAACTTATGTAAAATACTCAAAATTGTATATTTCTGTGCTTCCTGCTGGTTAATTGCAGTCAGCCTTCTGTACCTTCATAATCCCTTAGACATAACATTGTCTACCATGTTCCACAGTTTAACTATTTAATTATCACATTATATTAAATAAGAAATGATTGCGAGAAAGTCATAACAATTAGAGGTAAGAGTTCAGTGCTGTGAAATTGGTATAATTGTTAGCCATCTGCTATTATTATCTGCAGTGATAAACACAGCACTGAAATTTGTGTATTTACCATGAAACTGATTAGGAAACCTGATTTCTGCATATCTGAACAAGACCGTTATATCCTACAGTTTGAGGTAGGAGGTGTGAGAGGAGGAAAAAAATAAAATGTTTTTTAAGAAATCTATGTATAAAATCTCAGTTTAACCTGATAGCGACTGGTAACCACTAGACTAATTAAAAACACCTGTAAAACAAGTTCTTCCTTGCTGGAAATGAACAAAGCAAAAGTAAGTGTCACAAAATAACATTTTAAGAACTTTCATCTTGAAACAACAACTTATCCAAAGATTTTTGATAGTCCTTGTGACATCTCAAAAGTATCTTGTTATAAATTGTTCCTTAGTTATATCTGCAATGTGTGTCCTTTGATGACTGAGTTCTCCAAGAAACAATTAATTTGCAAAAATACTATCTAAGTTTTTCGGTTTTAGTTGTTATTCCAGCATTCACTTTCTAAGTGAAAACATAATTTCAAATATCAATATAACAAACTGCCCACATAAATAGTTTGCTCTTCACCCTGCTCACTAGTCTTAAAAAATTGTTTCTCAGTATTTCTAGCATGGTGTACTCGACAGGCAGATACAGGAAAGCTTAGATTGGTTGTAAAGAAAACATTCTTGGTTAACCAGAGTTAAAATTAGAAAACTTTCAGAGATGGCTATGAGCTAAACTAGAGACTGTGACAGGAGATAGTGATGCTCAGTTGCACTGTATCTTGACAGATATTCTGTGGATCGACACACTGACCTTGACAGAATATTCAACATCTATTCAGGAAATGGATCCTTATTCATCTCAAAGCCACTTGACCGGGAAGAAACTCCTTGGTACAACATCACTGTCATAGCAACTGAAATCAGTAAGTTGGACATCATTTATCTCAGAAGGGCATTACAACTGAGAAAAGACTGAAATTCTACAGTATCTATGATTTATCTTGTTTCATTAGTTTTGCCCTTATCCAGGTGTTATCAATAGACATAGTATCTTTAAATGCACATCTAAACATTCAATTTACTACTTTAGGATTATCTTTGTCCATTTATGAAAAGATACAGTGTACAGTATCTATCAGAGAAGTTAACTGGTTCCCTGAGAATTCCCAGAAAATAATGTGGTGCAGGTGTAATGCACTGGCTTTATCCTAAGCTAAGTCTTTGGGAAAACCCTTGGAAGAAAAGAGGTCCACAACAGACAAATAACACTTTGTCAGAACGACCACTGTGTTTACACAGTGTTCCCCTGTTTAGGGGAAGAAATTATGCTTTACCTCAACAACTTTAATTTATCACAGTAAATGGTTTCATTAGAAGCTAAGACTAGAGGAAATTCTTTCCCCTCCACGTCTGAAGCAAAGCCTAGCCCTAAGTCTTTCACCTGGATTCTTTACTGTTTTGTGGGCCCTTTTAAATCTAGATGTTTCTTGGCTGACTTTTCTTTCCAGCCAACCGATAGCAGTCATCAGAGGAGAAAGAGAGATGCTGATTTTAAGGAAGAACTTTTCTCCCTTCCTTCATTCTCCCTATAGATTGTCCAGGAGTTTGTGCTTAACAGTCTGGCAGTTGGGTAATATAGAAAGATGAACTATATACCCATTTTCAGAAAGACTTGGTCAAATATGGTCTCCATTTTCAACACGTGTACTGTGAGATTCATCTCCAGTGATAGCTTGACCTTGGAGGTCAAGTTTGTGAAGATGGATTGATGATAACATCTAAGTATCTCCTTTTTTTTTTTTTTTTTTTTTTTCCTTTGTTTTTATGTTTTGGGGAGAAAGGACAACTTTGGGTTTTTGGGTTCAGGGGTTTTTTTTGCGTTGTTGTTGACTGACACTGTTTAACTCTTTACTGATTTGAACAAGTAAATGTTCCTGATGGCTTGACCTCAGGAAACAGCTTTTACAATGAATAATTTGAATCGTTTTATAACGAATCACTGATGTATGGAATACAAGTCAATATTAACTCAGTGACCTGTTTTTAATGCAAATCAATTTAAGTATGCTTTATGTTACTTCAAAATATATATAAAATAATACAAAAATTTGTTTCAAATATAAATAAGGCTTTCATGTATATAGAATGCGTGTCAGTAGAAAATGAAATATAATTGTTTTAGTATAATCAGGGAATTGAACGAACATTTCTAATGGAAAAAATATATTAGATAATTTCAGGTCTTTTCACAGACATGGACTGTAAAACTTTGCATTGTAATATAAATATTTTTTTTGTTTCAGATAATCCTAAACAAAGTAGCCAGATACCTGTCTTCATCCGGATTTTAGACATAAATGATCACGCACCAGAATTTGCCAAATACTATGAAACATTTGTTTGTGAAAGTGCAAAAGCAGGACAGGTAAACAAATACTTATGTTACTGAAGAATTTGTAATGAAACTATCCTGGACCATCATGAAGATTTCAACATATATTAATCTGAAATACTGCAAACCAACCCAACCGTCTTTATTCTCTATCTTCTACAGAAACTACCAGTTGATTCAAAAAAGGAAGAGATAAAAGATGCAGGATTTTACCCTAGTATAATAACAAAATATATAATACTAAATCATAAATTAAGATGCTTTTTCATTCCTAATATAAAAAAATATTTTCAGAACTCGTTATGTATAATGCTACAAAAGCCTTCATACTCTTCGATAATTCAATTTTTTTCTGGATTTTTTTCAAAGCTTTAATATAGTCACATCTTCAAGGACAGAAAGCAGGAAAATTTTTATTATGCTTCGGTAAAGGAGATGCAAAAAATAAACTTTTACAAAAATAAAAGCTAATGCAAATATTTCCATTGTAAGTTAAACTTCAATTTGGAATTGAGTTGAATTTGGTCAAAACTCACGTATATCCTTTTCTAAACTGTCTCAACAATTGTGTAATAATGTAAAAGGAAAATAACAAGATTTGTAGAGAAGAAGTAGTAACTGGAAAGGGACATAGACCAACATGACTCAGAGCCAGGATATTACAGAAATCTTTTTATATTACTGCCACTACAACAAACATCTATTTATGCTAATGCCACTCAGCCTTTCACTTTAAATTCTGTGAAGAAAGATGTATGTTTTGCTGATTTTTAATTCTGAAAATATTTACCAAAGAACTGGATTTAATAGCAGATTGTGTACCCCGAGACTGTGTTTCAAGCATGGGCCTAAGCCCATGCACGAGCCTCTTCTCTAGATGAATGCACTTTTGAGTGGAAGAAAAATAGTCTAAGGCTTTACAGGGCTGGGGGTTATGGATACACATCCGGAAGTACGTTCACATTTTACCTTGATTGCTGCCCTATTGTATTTAACATAGTCATGAGCATGTATTAACATAGTCATATGCACTGAAAGTAGCATAGCTGGCACCTGAGATGAGTATAGAATTTCAGGTCCTGCAGAACTCTAGACAGAGCAAGAAAATGCAATTTACCAGCTGCAATTTGAGTGATGTCTTATGAATGGTTTAACACCTGGGGGTGAAAAAAAAAAAAAAAAAAAAAAGAAAAAGAGACCAAAAAACGGAGAAAAAGAGGATACAATGCATTGCTGGAGTTTGCATTCAATACTACTTATTTTTCATTCATTGCACCTAATACTGGGATTTAGGTAAGTGGGTTAGAAAGACAAGGGATAATTTGAGTGAAATCACTTGGCTTTGAAAAGCTACTTGACCATTATTTTAATCCTTTTTCAAGAAAGTCTTACTATTTTTGTTACAAATTACACAAATAGAGGAATATACATATCAGTGATTAATTAAATTAAAACAGTGGAAGGAATTATAATATCAGAAAAATTAACAAGGAGCACCTTTCAAAACAAGAGATCAGAACATTGTGTCTTACCCAGTAACATAAATTGTCACATAAGAATACAGTTCAGGCCTTACAGAATGAGCAAAAATTCCCTAAACTTCTGGTTATTGTGCCATCATACTTTTATTTTATGATTTATTAGCTGTTTTTCCAGGTAGAATACATTCAGATAATTCTAGCCACTAATATCAGACAGCTGGCATATAACCTAAATTCCATCTGTGAAAAAAAAAAAAAATCTCTTTACACAAGGTGAAATTGGGACAAATAAGCCTTAAAATCTCAGTATAATGACTGACAGCAGTCATGTACTTTAATTGCATAACACAAAGAAAAGTTCCAGAGCTTACAAATGAACATTTCATTGAAATTAATCATGTGCAATTTTAAACAAAGCACAGGTTTTGTCATATATTTGAACCAAGTTCAATCCAGGCATACTGCTTGTCAGTTTTCTTAACGTTATTTCCATCTAGTCTACCACACTTGATGAAATATCCATTAATGTATAAAATGTATAAAATTTCTTTTACCTTTCTGATAAATTCTGTGCTTTTCTAACAACGGAAATGACAGAGATCCATTAGATAGGTATTGTTATTCAGACCTCCCTTACATCTAGCGTATCAATGTAATTTCAGAATTATTTTCCCTAATTGGAAAAATCCACAAAAATGCTAGAAAGACAGTACACATCAGGTGTAGCTGCAGAAGAATAAGAGATCCAGACTGTTCTTCTGTTTAACAACTGGGTTCCTCAAGACAGGCATCCAAGTTCATATCTGGAGATTTACATAGAGTTGACTTAGTATTTCAGAAAACAGATTACCTTCAGTACCTGAGACTACTTTTATTTTGGTGCCTAGAAATAACAATGAATATAGAGATACAAACTTTAATATTTTGGCCAAGAATGCTAAGTTCCAGGTAGCCTGTATTGCTCATGTTTAGCAGTCCCCCTGTAATACAATAAAGAAACAGAATCATGTTGTGTTCATTTAGTACTACTCCACCTTATTTTAGAGATCACCTAAAGCAGCTGTCTTATTAGAATCATTATTGCTTCTTGACATGTCACAGCAGTGCTTCTACATCTAGTACCCACAGCAGGTGAGCCAGACTGAAAACATAAATACATATAGTTAATTTTTAATTTATTTTTTTTTTAATTGGGCCCAGATATTGATCACATCACTCTCTAAATTTCAGGTGCATCAGGAAGCAGTCAGAATGATCAAATATTGCTCTCTGCTGTAAAGTGACATTATTCATTCTCAACTTCAGCAGATATTAGAGGCTGCATTAGTTGTGTTTTTCAGATAGCCTTAGGAGGTTCAAAGGAAAGAAAATCCTACTGCCTCCACAGCCGCTCTTATCTCGAAACAACAATGGCATGACTGGGGAGAAACATTCTCACTAGAGGTGCATAAACAACTATGTTCATTAGGCTGGAACACATTTGTCACTGTACGAGTCCTGTTCAACTGGTTAATACATAGGCTAAAGAAAAGTATGATGCAGTCTTCCTCTCGCATAATTTAGAAATCCTTAATCCTTTGATGGTGTGCTAGAGCCCCAGGGACTATTGTGGGGAAGGCTCTGGTACAAGTTCTCTCATGCCCTTGTCATGGGAATTAATTTGGTCTTTTCAGATGGATTAGAGGATGAGTTCTCTCCATGGAAACTAGGAAGATTTACTTGAAAAGGGGACTGATTTAACTGAACAATTTGCTGGTAACAATTTAGCTAATTTCAACACCCATCAATAATACTATTTAATAAAATAACCTGGATCGCTTTTTTTTTTTTTTGCACTGATGCTATATTCTTTCCTGCCATTCAGGAGCTCTCAGATATCAAAACAGAGAAAGAGTTTGTTCACCCTTCAGAAACCTGGCAGACTTTTCTTTTCATTAGTCTCCGTACTCCCTTTCCTTTTTCAGATTGAGCAGACAGAGATCACATTTTTCATCTGGCCGTTTCTAATTATCAGTCATGAGTTGTTTATACACTGTAGCTGCCTTCTCTAGGTAGACACCTCTTGGCTTGATTTAGTGAGAGACCCATGCTAACAGTCTGTCTCCTTTCTGAAGTAAGAGGTGGAGTTCAAGGGAGAATTCAAATTTCTGATAAGCATTCAGTCCTGCTTTAAAACTGCCAACACATTTGTGGGACAGAGCCAAGACTTGAAAAACAAACAGTTTTGCGTTACCAAACATGAATCTTTGTTAGGTGGCGGGCATTTTAGAACATTTCTTAAGGCATAAAGCATCAAGATCAAAGGTCTATTCAAGCTTACACACATGTGATGGAGGCTGGTTTCTGCAGTTAGCACCATACAGGTGTATAGTCTAGAATTGTGCCTGAACATGTGTGATCACTCAAGCTGCAAAATGACAAGGTGGGCCTCCACTGACAGGTGGATTGATTTTGAAACACTTCTACGTGGGGACAGTGGAACTGCAGTATTACTTCAACCCTAGAGAAACATAGCCACTTTGAAATAGTCTACAAAATCTTCATCCCACCCACTTACACAGTGTTGTGTTATTAATATATTCAAGATTAGTTAGTGATTGGCCCTACCAGGTAGTACAGGCAGAAAGAGGGGCAAGAGAAATAAAGGACAGGAGAAACACAAAGTTGCTCTTCCACCATTTCCCCATAGCATTTGCACACTACTACATTCCGATCATTGTCAAAAGTGTAGTCTCTCACAATATTATTTTTCATAGTTTACTGCTGAAAAAATGGTAAGATCTTTCCATATTCTTGAGAAATGTTTGCAGCACAAAACAAGTTTAATAAATTTCAAGAATGACAAAATCAGCGCTCCAAGATCCAGGATTTGTTCTGTTCTCTTCTATACCATTTCTGAAAAAAACTGTCAGACAAAAACAAACATCAAAATGTCCCAAACATTCCTTTCTCAAGTGCTTACTGATATTTTTTAAAATCTTATCTCAGAAGCAGCTGAAAGTAGATAAATGACATTTGAGAAATTTCTCTATGATATCCAGGTTTGACTAAGAGCATAACATAACAAGAACGAAAGCCCAAATGATTCAAGTGGATTGAAGGCCTACTCCTCTGCATATCTATAATCGTATACAAGAATCAACAATAGTCAGCAGCTGTTACTGTATCTCTAGCTTAACAATGTCTGTCTCCAGTGGTCTTACTTCTCTGAGACTGGAAGTACAATTTTCATACTATACAACAATTACGTTATTTTAACACTTCAGAAAGGCACTGTCTACAACAACAGTCCATCTTTAAATTCCTGTGAAAGTGACATTATTTTTCACTGTCTTCTTTATAGTGAATTTTAAAGGAAGGATAAAAAAATTAAAATACGATAGCAACCACCAATATGCCACTGTTTTGAAAAGAAGCAGCAGCAGATTACATTGTGGACATTCTGTCTGAAATTCTGGTTTATTAGTAGAAATTTTTAACCTGAAAATATATTGCATCTGTCCACCCATAGGCCTCATCTTGTTCAGCTTTCTTCAATTAACCTATCAAGAATCTGTCTGAAGAATTGTTGCTGCATTTTTAAAGTGTGTACCCTGGAGCCAATGTGCAACTGTGGTTTATTTGCATGACAAACCAAGCCAGCAATGGCTGAAAAGTCCATCTGAAAAGTGGCCAGCTGGTGCTGACCTCTATACTGTTAAAGATGCACTACTAGCTTAATGTTTGCTTTAATGGTTTCTATATTCCTTTTAGAGGCAGTCCCAAAGCTAAGCCCATGACCCAAGTCTCCTACTTGTGCAGCTCTCCCTGTCCACAAATGCAGCCTCAGGAACAATAAAGGCATGCTCTGAAGTGCGCAAGGCCCCTTGTTATTTCAGAATGCACCCACCTAGCTTTTAATCAGCTTTTACTTTCTGTCTTTAAAACATCTTGAAGAAAACTGGAGACGGGCTACATCTAAGGATGTACCAGATATACATAAGGAGTCTGTTACTAGGTGGTCTATTTATCCCCAATCATTTCTTCAGAGATGAATATGAATAACTATAACATAGCCTGAACATAAACTACAATCACAGTTTTGACTGTGGTGTAAGTCATGGCCTTAAAAACACAGTATCCAGGAGAAAAAAACCCCAACAACACAGTATTATAATTGAACCATTTCCCCATTTGAAAAAATTATGTCAATGGGAAATAGGTCCAAACCCTTTCATAGGATCTCTGGCTTCATCTATTCAAGAAATTTTTTGAGTGGCAATGATACCTCATTCACCACTCATCTTACATTGTCAAGCTGCTACAACCGCTTTGTCCTGAGTGTAAAGGAAAAAACTTTATGCCAACGCCCAAGTTTAAAATTTCAGTACCTGCAAAGACAAGTGACCCCTAAAAACTTGAATTTAGCCAAAAAGATCCCCTGAAGAGTATGACTCTTTCTTTAAACACAGAGAAGTGCATATGTACATGCACACGCAACCCTCAAAATAACAAAAATAATGCTGTATTTTCCAAATTGTGCTCATTTGCATGGGAAACCATGGAGGAAAGAAAAAATGGGAATGCTTTTTATCTTCTCTAACCTGATATGCTTGAAATATAGTAAAAAGTAAAAGTCATTTTCTTGAAATAAGTCTTCCCTCATAAATCTTATAGTGTCAGAGATCTTTATCTGAAGTCCTGGTGAAGAGTGATCAAAACTCAATGTCCGTAACTGCTTCAAAATGGAAGAATACATTTCCAAAATGAAATTGGAAAATGTACATGAAGTGGTACTAAAATTTTTCATATAACTCTGGTACTTAAAATAAAAATAGCCACATCTCTCTTATTCCTGCAGTAATTGTCATTAACATAATCCTCTTTTATTTACAGCTGTATAACTGAAAAAAAATCCTTCATTAGATAACATTTCTAATTTCTTTTCACCTATTCATTATTTGGAAAAATTCACCTGCAATCATGCTTTCTCATTGTTCTTTTATTCTTCCATCTTTCCCAGTGGGAGAACAGCTGGTTCCAAATTTATGCAGCTAATAGTTAGAGCAGGTATTAAGTTTGGTGGGTTTTTTTTCTTCTTCTTCAGCTTTACCCTTAACAATAAGTTTTCAATGCAATTAGGTTCCTCTATGCCTAGCACAATTGTCCTCCTCCATGTGATTTGCACATGAAGAGAATCAAATCCAGATCCTACAAACATCCCACTGATTACATCTCAAAAAGCCCCAAGATACTCAACTGCAATTTCTGATAGCTATTATATCAGGATATTTTCTTCTTGAGTTTTTCAGCAAGTAATTGCTCATATATTATATTTTATTCTAATTTTCTCTCTTCTCTCTGGCACTTTTACACTTTTTCTGTCTTATAAAACTTGTAAAAATGTGAGAGGAAAATTTTCTCGTTTCAATTTGATATTTTAGTCCTCTCAAAAGGAACTTTTTTTTAGTAGCAATATTACATTTTTGCATTAAACAATGCAAACCTAAAATTAAGCACTATCCAGGTCTTGTTTTCTGTATTGCCACTCTCAGGCAGATTACAGCAAAAAGAAAAGCAATGGGACATTGGAAACCTTTGGCATAATCAGAGACTCAGCAACAGAGATCTGGCTAATCTTGGGATTAAAAAACTTTTTAAAAAATAAGTCTAAAGACCAATGATCATCACATTTTTCAAGAGAAGAAACCTTAATATGTAGTCATTATTCTAATCAACTGTGTAATTCTGCCATCACCACAGTCACATCCTCTTGTACAAGGCTGATGTTCATAAATTACCTTCCAAGTTCCTCAACATGCTTCAAAAATAACAAGAAAATGATAAAAAAAATCTTGAGGTTTTTTTTAGAAGGAGCTGCTAGGAAGTGAATGAGCCAAACTCAGACATCTCTACCATTTGTTTTTTGTTGGGTTTTTTTTGTTTTTTTTTTTTAATATAACATCTTAATAGCATTAGCTGTAATAAAAGTATCCCAAAATTAACTAAAAATTGTGCCATGTAGTCATTGTGCAGTACAGCAATAGCAGCAGCGGATTTCTGAATGACACAGTGTAAAAAACACTTCAGTATTTTTGGTAGCCCTGTAATTATGTTTGTCTAATACAGTGTTCCATCCAGAGAGGTACTAAATACCCTCCAAAATATAATTGTATCCTCATGTCCCACTCAACCAATGTTCAGAGAAAGTACACAAGAAAAAGGCATTCCTTACTTGATTACTGCAAAGCTTAAAAGTTGTATCACTGTTACTTGTCAATTATTGTATTTCTTGAAGAAGCCATGCTGTACGGTTTCCTGGAAATATCAGAAAAACAAGCCGCCAAGTAAGGTTTTGATAACAAGTGGCTTTCATGTGTGTGGGATTTCAAGACACCCTATACACTGGAAACACTTGAAAACCTCAAGACAGGTATTGTCTTCCTCATGGCTTTGAAAGAAACTAGTCTGACTGCTGAGCTGTTTCTGACTTTAAGTTTAGGTGCCATAGGAACTCACCTGTACTGAGTTGCAGCATCCTCAGTGGAAGCTTACTCCCGTTGTCATGCCACCAAGGTTTGTCGTCTTGTGATGGAACTCAAACATGTCCTTGCAAGCCAAGGTGGAATATGGGTCACTCTCCAGTGTGATACTCACTGGTGAGTACAAAGGACATGGCAATCATTCATACAGCTCACTGAAGTTACTACGACTCATGCAACCTGGCATGGTGTTAACAGTTGCAAGTCATTTCACAAACCACAGTTATTCCCAGGCAGCTTTTCATTCTTCAGTTCTGCCACTGTTTTCCTTAGCCTCTATCTATCAGTCTAGCAATAAATAGGGGGAAAAAAAAAAAAAAAAAGTCAAATTGCTAGCATAGATATGTATCTATATATACATGAGTACACATACTTGCACATGTTTTGATGCAACCAGAAAGCTTCTACAATCCAAAACTACTGCTGAAGCCTCACTTTTTTAGTCCACTGTACTCTGACCCTATTATAGTCAGCACTATTATCACTCCTTCCCAGCTGGGTTTGAGTGGTCTTGTTAGGGCAGCTATAACGATCCACAGCCAGAGGTTTCAATTTAGGAGGGAGTAAAGTATCTCTTTTTATTACCTCAGGAGAACTCAGTATCCTGCCAGTGCAGTACTCCAATTTATCGCCAGGACCAGATGAGGTAGACTGGGAATTAGACCCACTTAACAACTGGTTTAGGTACTACTCTGTGTCATTGCTACATGAGGCCACAGGAGGTTTATGGCTTATTCAGAAAGACAATGGTTTCTGTATCACGGCAAGACAGTGAGTACAAATCCAAGCACACAGCTGTCTCGCAGTGAGGACAGGCCCCTTTTTCATCCTCCACATAATGCATTTAAACAATAAAATGACAATTTGTTTACTGTAACCTCTTCTGTATTTATGTGGAGAATATTTGGCTTAGGACATTAGTTTGTGCCTTCAGATAGAGATTAATTGGATTCTTACTGGACATGAAAAGGAGAGACCTTATTTCAAACACAAGATTTCTAAAACAGCATGAAATACTGTTTTCTTTATAGCTAATACAGACTGTGAGTGCAGTTGACAAAGATGAGCCTCCTCGAGGACACAAATTTTTCTTTGAGTTGGTGCCAGAATTTGCTGTTCATCCAAACTTCTCCATTGTAGACAACAAAGGTAACTGCTGACCAGTACCTTCTCCCTTGCCAGCCCCAATACCATATGAAACTTCATCTAGCAACATTTATTTATTCTGCTTTTCCATTGTAGATAACACAGTGGGAATTATGACTGGAAGAAATGGTTACAGCCGTAGTAAGATGGATACCTATCTCCTGCCAATCATAATATTTGACAATGACTACCCAATCCAGAGCAGCACTGGCACACTGACCATTCGAGTCTGTGCCTGCGACAGCCGGGGGAACATGCAGTCCTGCAATGCTGAGGCCTTGCTCCTCCCTGCTGGGCTCAGCACAGGGGCACTGGTTGCCATTCTCCTCTGCATCATTATCCTGCTAGGCAAGTACCTGTGATGAGTCATTTAATTGACTAGGCAAAGCTCTGGTCACATCACTTCTATTCTTCAACCGGTTATTCACATGACCCTGCAGAAGAGTATTTCATACCTGATGTGGGTTTGGTTTTGGTTTTTTTGTTGTTGTTTGTGGTGGGGTTTTTTGTTGTTGTTGTTGGGTTTTTGTTTGTTTGTTTTAACCAACTGTTTTCCAAAATGGAAAAGGAGCTGGGAGAGTGACAATGGGCTGTTTGTCTTCATTACTATTCAGAAGAATGTGCAAAAAGAACGAGACTGTCAATGTTATTTAGACAAAATCAATTTGAAAATTTAGGGTCAGTTTTAGATACTCTGCTGATTTGAGCAATGTTTTATCTTATAAACAGCTCTTTATTTAGATCAAGGACTTTAAAATCATATTCCTGAAGCTGAGTAATAAGATACTCAGTGATTAAAAAATTACCAGTTATACTAGCTATTTAATCATGAACGACTTGTAATTTTTATACTCAGGAAATATTTAGCTCAAAAGCATAGAAGAGTAGTGTTCAGTTGCTTGCAAGCAGTACCAAAAGCAGTTGATTAAATAAAGTATGAGCATAGAAGTTAGATGGGTGATTGGAAAGCAGAAATATTAGAAAGATAAAGTGACATATGAAATAGCTAGAATAACTTCTAGCTCAAGACCTGGTGTTATAAACAAAAAAATTGCAACTTGCATGTTTTTCTTACTAGAGAAATGCCTCCTTAAAAGTGCCATCACCTCTACTTT